GTGCCTTCCGTCAGCCGAGAGTCGCAGCCAGGGCCCAAGCCTCCGGCCGCCGCGGAGCCATGGAGATCGGCACCGAGATCAGTCGCAAGATCCGGGTGAGGCACGACGCGGCGGGGGTCAGCGGGCCGAGGAGGGGAGTGGCGCCGGGCCCGGCGGGCCGGGGACGCGCGCGCGCGCGGTTGTCAGGAGTAACGGGGGACGGCGGGCCCGGCCTGGTCGTCGCGGCCTGGCGGTCAGTCCCGGCCCCTCCCGACGGGTCTGTCCTCCCGCAGGCCGCCTCGGGCCCGGCTGCAGATGCGGCCTGGGAGCGCGCGGCCGGCGGCGGGGGAGGAAGCGCCCCGGGAAACGGAAGGACGCAGGCCCGTGGCCGGGGGCCCTCGCGCTTCCCCGCCGGAGAGAGGGCGGCGCGCCCGGGGCGAGTGGGGTGGGGGCGCGCCGCCGTCTGACCGCCTCTTCTTCCCTCCCGCAGAGTGCCATTAAGGGGAAACTGCAAGAACTGGGAGCTTACGTGGGTAAGTCCTCCGCTTCCCGGTTGTGATGAGCCGGGTAACGTTAGTTTCTGCACTTGGGCGAGTGTGCGCCAGCGTCTTTCCCTCTTCTTTCCCGACAGATCCCGTCCCTCCCCAGCTTCCCTCTTAAGGCGTTTTTTTCATGTTCAGTTTGGTTTTGGTTCCTCCCTGCCTCATTCGTGTCCCTTGGCATTTGTCTTCAGGACCAGAGCTTTCCACATGCAGGTTGGAGACCTGGGGGTCCACTTCACTCCCTTCCTGCCTCTTCCCCTCCCAGCCTTGTGCAGTGGTCTGCATTCTCTCTCTCTCTCTGTTTGTCTGTCTCTCTACCTCTCCTGTTCTTTTGTTCCTTGTAATTTGAGTGTTTACTCTAGGCCACTACTTAACTCTTCCGTGCTCATTAATTTTCAATTCTCAGGAGGACACCAGGTACATGATAATATCCCCAGCTGTCCAAGGGAGGGAACTGAGATTTCCCTGTATGAGCAAGGTTTTAGGGTTAAGGCCTGAGTCTCCTTGGCCCCGAAGCTGGTGCATTAGTCTATAAAAATAGTAACTACCCTTCGCGATGAGGTTGTCAACGATTTCATCTTGCTTTGATCCACACGTAAGCCCCCGGGTACCAGCAATCAAGAATTCAGAAAGCTTGTTGCATTGAGAAAGTCTGCTGTCAAGGACCTGCCAAAGTGCCCGCGAGCAATGCTGTCAGTTTAAAGACTGAGGTGCACCTGATTTAGACCATGGTCGACTTAGTCACTTGCTGTGTGTCTGAAAGTTGGACATTGAATTAAGAATGACAACAGGAGTTGATGCCTTTGAGTTGCGATGTTGGCAAAGAGTGTGGAATAACCCGTTCACTGCCAAGAAAATAAGCGAGTACGTCTTAGAGAAAGGGCATTCGTGTTGCTCATTGACGGTCAAGAGGCCAAGCTTCATCTCACATACCAGTTCTTGGAAAAAGACACCATGTCTGGAAAGACACATTGTTAGCAAAAGAGAGGAAGACGTTCAGGGGAGTGGATTGACATGGTGACCTTATCAGTGGGCTCTCGGGATGACATGAGGATGACACGGTATAGGGCAAGGTTCAGGTCTGTGAGTCATAGTGTTGCATGACTCAGTGGCATCTAACAACAGCCACCATTTTTGAGAGCAGTTCATGAGTGGGAGATACGAAGGCCCTCTGAAGTCAAAACTGTTCCTGTAGGAATATGAAGATGGTACCTGTCATCTTTTTACTGTGTTCACATTTGCATTTTGTACTCTTTACTCTAGGTACAGTTGTTACTAGCACATGAGCCTAAATCATAACGGTCACACCAGACTCTTAACTAGAAATCATGTTACCACCACATCTACTTGCAGTTTAAAACTGCTTTCACTTAAGAATGTGATTGAGCAGTAGTAACATTTCTCCTCACTAATCCTGGCCCTTGTTTGCATCTTGTAAGTATTTCATGTGAAGAGATAGGAGACATATTTGTATGCTAAAGGATAAAGAATAATCTCACACACTTTGGGTATGTTGCTAGAAGGGGGCCAATCCTTGGGAAAGTGAAGGACTTTTCATAGTTGGAAAGGGGGAAGGTCATCTAAAGAGAAGACAGTGAGGTGGTTGGATACAGGTCCTGTAAGTAACAGGAGGCTCAGGCGTGCCAGAGGTGATGAGGATGTCGAAAGTTAATGAGAATTTACATAGCAGAACTGTACGCCAGCTCAGTGATTTCTACAGATTCAGTTCAGTGGTAATGATTACATTTAGTTTTTTCAAGTTGTACCTTTTTACAAGTTGTACAGGTCTTGAAATGATTTTTCTCCCATGAATGTAACAAACGCTCTGTACCTTTGTTACTTATAAACCTTGGTGGCAAATTGGTTAGTTCTTTAAAAGTACAATGCTCAAGGCTCCTAATGATTACATGCTGACCACTAACAGAAAAGTGGATAGTTTGTTTTAATCCACCAGTGTTTCTATAGGAGAATGCTACAGCCCTCCAGATCTGCAAAAATGACTGAGCTCATCACTGTTGAGTTGGAACCAACTCACAGCCTATCCCCCAGCTCGTTTTGAGAGTTCATAAATTGCGGAAGAGATTGCCCATCTTCTGAGTAGATTCAAACTCTATTTGGTTTAGAAGCATAACTTCCTACAACTACTTTAGGATTACAGCCTTTGAAACTCTGTGGGACGACTGCAGAATATTACTGTGAGGTAGAGCAACCAGAGGAAATGGTTTTGTGGTTTTGGGGGTGTTTTTGTTTTGAGGTGAAGAGGACTTGGTTATTGTTAGGTTTAAAGAAGACTCCAGAAGATGTTTAAGGTTTAAAGATATCTTAGCAATAATTTTAGGAGTTCACCCAGCCTCCATGACTTATGAAATCTGGATTCCTGAATATTTAAAGTTGTGTTCTACATTTTTTCCTTCTTATGGTCAGTATTCCTGTAAATATTTCATTACTAAAATTTGATATCTGGTCAGAATGTGGAACATTATTTTTAATTTCTAAAAACTGAAGTTATACATAGTGATTTAGCTATACTAAGTAAGAAAATTCGAACAGAAAGATTTTTTTTTGTTTAAATAATGATATCAATGAATCTAATTCTTATTTTTAACTTGTGTAATGTGTTATATCAACATGTCCACAGTTTACATAGCTCAGTGAACAAGTATTTTCTAAATAACCAGTGGATGTATTGGTGCTAGAAAGTTATACAAGATAAAAAAAGATACGGTTAAAGGGGCAAGTGGATCAGGTCTTAACCTTTAAACCTTTCCAAGGGGTCAAAGTTTCAGGTTCTTCCTTACACAATTGGAGATAGTACCATATCCCTTCCATTGTTTTCCTGGACATTGTAAGTTAAATTTGAAAGCAGAAATGAGAATTTAGCAGTTTTCTTATAAAGTCAGATTGTAAAGACATTTTTGGAATACACAGTTGATTTTCATAGTAGTTCTACTTACGATAAATAATGGGTTAGTTAAATATGGTAGGTGTAAGTATTTTTAAAGAATTTTTTTTTAATTTGATTTTGGCTTTGGTTTAATTTCCTCCTCCTTGCCCCTCTATTTTAAAATAATCTTTAAAAAAAAAATCCTTAGATTTGCTTTCTGATGTAACATATAAATAGAAGCTCTTTGGAGTCTTTAAGGGAACCTGAAACCAAAAGGTTGAGAATTCTTTAGTTTGTAGAGTATTTGTCATATGCAGGGTACATTTCATTGTCTCTTATTAGAATTGTGAGACAGATGAGAAAATTGGACTCAGAGAGGTTAAAGAGGAAACTGAAACTGAATTTATTCATTATTCTTTCATTCCATTAACAAGGGGTGAATACCACCTATGTGCTGGGAACTTGTTTTGGGTAAAAAAAAAAAATCCACTGAAAACCTACACTAAGCATTCTTTTCCAATTCCAGCACATAAAAGCACAAACTGGGTTAAGCTTAAATCTACTCTTGCTAGTAGCCGCTGCTCTTTATATCTGAAAGGCTCTCTGTTGTGCAGGGCATTATCTGTTTTGTTGCTAACCAAAAAGTCAGTGATTCAAGTCCATCAGTAGTTCTTTGGGAGAAACATAAGCAGTCTCTGCCCACAAAGCTTTAAAATCTTTTTGTAGTTATGTGCTATTGAGTCTCCTGACTGACTGGAAGTGACCCTATGTACAGCAGCTCTGAAGCCCTGAGCCAGTCTCACTGGCTCTGACACACCTACCCCCACTGCCTCAGGTGCTACTGTTTCAATCCATTTCATCAGTGGTCTTCCTCTGCTGTGCTGTCTCTTCACTCTTCCGAGCATGATGTCCTTCTCCAAGGACCTGTGCCTCCTAGCCATGTGCCCAGAGCATGTGAGATGAGCTTCAAAATCCTAGCCTCCAAGGAGAAACTTGGTGTCACCCTCCCCAAGACAGACTTGTTTGTTTTCTTGGCAGTCCATGGTATGTTTAAGACTCTTCTCCAGCATTTTAGGAACCTGATGGATAAGGGTCACCATGAATCAGATTCAACTCCACAGCAGTGAGTTGCATTTGGTTTGAGTTATAATTCATATAAGGACTCTAAGTGGCCTCTAAATGGAGCTCTGGTGGTCTAGTGGTAGGAAACTGTGCTGCAATCCCGAAGGCACACAATTCAAATCCCCCAGTTGCTCGAAGGGAGGAGGATGGGCAGTTTCCTGTGTGATTTACTGCCTCTGAAAACCCGCTGGAGGGTCAGCTATAGCTTGGTTTCGACTTGGTGGTACTCAGCAACGACAGTGGCCTGGAGGGTCATCTGTGGGTCGGTTTCAACTTGATGATACTCAGTAAGCACGGTGACCTGGAGCATCAGCGGTGGGTTGATGTAACCATATAAGTGGGTAAGTGTTTGGCTGTTAACCCAAAGGTCACAGGTTTGAACCCACTCAGGGACTTTATGAGAGAAAGCCTGGCAATCTCCTGTGAAAGTTACAGCCTTGAAAAAAAAAATCTGTGGCTGGTTCTTCTGTCACATTGTATCTGTGACTCGACATATCTGTGTGAGGCCAGATTGACTTGATGGTGCCTCAAACAGCATCATTAATCCTCTCCACACATGGGGTGGCCATGATTCAGCTCTGACTCAACAGCGGCTGACAATAGTAAACATTACTTATCAGAAATCTTAGACCAAGAATTTTGAGTTTGTTAAAAATCTGGCTATAAGGTTAACCTAGGCCAAGACTGGAATATAATTGTAATAAAAATAACATTTGTTTTCTAGTTTTCAGAGTCTTTTCTCATAGTTTCATTATTGCTGGGCATAATTTGGGATCAAAATGGCAGGTAATATTTCTTTTACAAATAAAGAGTCTTGAAGGGGTCAGTCAGTCAGCATATTTTAAGACCAAAGAATGCAGGTTTGGGAATTTTATATGTTTCTGTTTATATTCATTTAATATACACTTGCTGACCTGAGGTAAAAATGTACAGAAGTCACTTCTCTGTGCTCCATGAAGACACCACCAAATTCTGCCCAGTGTTTCATGTGATCTCAGTATGCATCTCTGCTTTGTCTCAACTTGTTGACCAGTTTCTTGAGGGCATAGGCTTCTTTGTTATGCCCTTCGGACCTTGCAGAGAGTTTGCCATTTCATACATGTTGATGAAATAGGTAAGCGATAAAATATTTGAAATGAAAATATCCCAAGTTACTAACTTGTATTTAGCTTTTATTACCTGTATGTGCATATTATTCTTCTGAAAAGTGACTTTTAAGATAACTTTCTCTATGTTGCAAAGAATCCTGAAAGCTGTTAACATGATGAAAATAGTCCTTCAGTAAGTGTTTGAGATCTATTTTATGACACTGGATGAGATGCAAAGATGAAGAAACCTCCATTTTTAGAAGTGTTGTCTTGTTTGCCGTCAAGTCAACTGACTCATAGTTGAGCCACCAGCGGTTCATTTTTTCTTGCGCATTTTTTTTAAAGAGTAAGGTTGTGTGCGTGTGTAAAAAATACAGGACTTTAGTGAGACGGCATTTGTAACTTGGGACAATCATTGGTATTTTAGAATTAACTGTAAAGAAACCTTCAGATGCTGAAACAACCTAAATGCCCATCAACAAACGAATGGGTAGAGAAGCTGTGGTATATTTGCACAATGGAATACTATGCTGCATTGAAAAATAAGGAACTCATGCAATATTATTCAAAATGGGTGACCCTGGAGGACATTATGCTGAGTGAGGTATCTCAGTCACAAAGGGACAAATGCTATATGATGCCACTGTTGTAGAATGAGGCTGGCATCAGGGTGGGGGTAAGACTGAGAAAAACTGGATGAACTATGTTTACGGCATTGAAGTCTATGGGGGAGAGATAGTTTAAAAGTATTACATTTTAGGGCATTATGTTTATCGTAGGAGTATGCAATGAGGGTTGCAGAGTGGATTATATTTGGGGGTGGGGTGGGAGTGGGGTTAGGGGAGGTGTAGGGGGGGAATTGTGTACCCAATGAGGGAGTTCTTCTTTGCTTTTCAAGGAGAGGAGCAAACGGGGCGGGCGGGGAGAAGGGTGCAACAGTGAATGAATGGAATTCCAAAATCTCTGTAGATGTTCATTGAAATGAAAAAGAAACAAATAAAAAAGTACGCTGTTAGTGAACCTGTGAAGTCTTTCAGAATTCTGTATTATGTTTGCAGTTCGGTTTTTTAAGTTACCTTCTTATTTCCCATTGTATGTCAACTGAGAAAAATCCAGAACCAAAAAGAAATCTGTAACCAGCCAAACCAGTTGCCGTTGACTGGAGTCTGGTTCATGGCTACTCATACCTCAGAATAGAGTGGTGCACAGGGCTTTCAGTGCTGTGACCTGGGAGTAGATAGCCAGGCGTTTCTTTTCAGGCATCAGTGGGAGAACTTGAACTGCCAACTTTGCAGTGATTAGCTGAGTGTGTAAGTGTTGTGCCATCCAAGGACTCTCATCTACTGAGAAAACAACTTGATCATTTCTTACAACGTTATTGAGATAGAATGTGCATTGAACGGCACACATTGAAAGTTTACAGTTTTGTATGTTTTAAGGTGTGAAACTATCACTGAGGTAATGAATATGTCTGTTTCCTGAGGTCCATTGTATTTCTATGCTTCCTGTTCTTATCTTCATAACAGGTCGCCCATTTATATAAAATTTTTAGAACATAAAGACTAGTACATAGTGACAGAACAGTATTTTTTCATCACTTAGATGACTCAGAAAAAAGGACAGGGCTGCAAAAGCACCGTAACTTACTTTCTACTTGCTTGGTCCAAGCTAAGTGCCATAGGTACCCTAGAGATGCAAGAAGCTGAATCAGAAGTTAGCTACAAGGCTTATTCATCAGAATTGGTGGGAAGCCTTATTGATAACCTGTCAGGGACTGGGTGCTAATCTTTGCTGGCATCTCCCTTTCTCCACAGTGCATGCTTCCATCCAGTATTCTGATTTGACTCTTTCCTTTGTTAGATTGGGCTTTCTCATGTTACTTTTGCTTCTAGAACTGGAATTTTGATATTTCTCCTTGAAAGTTTAAATGTCTGATAGTACTTCTGAAATGAACCTATCAGCCAGTGTAGAAATAGTGAAGAGTATTTAAGGTATTAAAGAAAGAGTTTGTCTTGATGGGGTTATGATACATGGCTTTTACTTCTGTATCATATAGTGGGTTTGCTGCTTTGCTTATTTGATTTCGTTCTTACACCTCATTTCATCATAACACTGTATAGAAGGGTATAAAGGTAAAACAAATTGAGTTTAATTTATTTAACTGATCTTGAGGTTGAACTCTTTAAATAATGTAGAGTTTGGGGATAGGGGTTTTTTTGTTTTGTTTATTTGATGATGCTGGGAGTTTGTTTCCCATAGTAATGGAAATCTGTTTTAAGAAAGGATAAAAAAAAAAAAAAAGATAAAGGTGTTCACTTAAGAAATTAGTATTATTTGAAAATTAAACAAAAAAAATTAATAAATTTTGAAGAGGAAATGTCTAGGTACTTTCTGAAATTCTCTTTGAAATTAAATGAATGTTAAAAAGATTCTTTTTCCAGAGAGAATTCAGTGTCAAAAGTTTGATACTGTTATCTGTAATAAGTTGCAAGTATTTTTTAGTTCTAATTCCCGTTCCTCTAGAAATTGACTACTTTAGGAAAGAAGAGGGGAAAAAAATCAAAGTTAAACATCTTGCCCATCATCATTTTATCATAGCTGAGATAGGGATTCTTCTTAGTACTGTATTTTCAAACACTTCAGCATTGAGTAGAAGAAAATACTGAGGAAAATGTAAAACCGTTTTGATGTACCTTTCCTTTTAAATAGATGAAGAACTTCCTGATTACATTATGGTGATGGTGGCCAACAAGAAAAGTCAGGACCAAATGACAGAGGACCTCTCCCTGTTCCTAGGGAACAACACAATTCGATTCACCGTATGGTATGTTTCCACATGTATGTGCAGACCAAAATCTGGGACAAATCAGAGTAGGCATTATTGTCTGGAAAGAGTTACCTGGTGAGCACTTTAGGTTCATTGGGAAGGTTAGGTTCTGAGCAATGAGGGCACAGCTGGACTGCTAGAGTTTAATCCTGGCTCACCATTTGCCTTGATTTCTCCATCTGTAAAGTGGGGATAGTAAATGACCTCTTCTTCAGGATTATTATGAGGATTAAATGGGCACATGCCAAGTATGCCTGTCAGATAGCCCTCAGTCTTTGTTTGCTGTAGTCATTTTGTTTCTTTTGTAAACTGCTTTATAATTCCTTCCACCAAAAGTAACAGCATGCATTGTTTTGACATGAGTTGGATTCCATTATTTTTTCAAATAAGTTAATGCTAATGGGACAAGGACTTTTGTTTTTCAAAAGGATCCCTCTCTCCTTTTATTTTTCAACTTGGGTCTTCTTTTGGCAGACAAAAAAAAGTTACTTTTAAAATCTACACTTTTGAAGTAGGCTACTTTGTTTTCAGGTATAAGTTAACATAGTTTCCAATGCTCCTCCCAAACCCACATACTTTAGTTCAAAATAATAGATTTTAAAAAAAGATTTCCTTTTTTTTTTTTTTAAATTATTTATTTATTCATTCTTTTTATGTGTGTACCGTCAAATTGGATCTGACTGGTACAGGAGGCGATTGTTCCTCCTTCTTCAGCAGAGCATCTGGTGGATTTGAACCGCACACCTCTGGGAAGATTTCCTTTTAAGATGCCCTTGTCCTCATATGAAGGAAGGTAATGAAAATGGCCAAAGTATAGAGCAGGAGGTAGCCTTATAACCTGCAGACTGGGCGCCAAGGACAGCACTTGTTGATCAAGGAAGAGCTGAGAGGGAAGTGGCCTGCTTTGTTTGAGGCTGACGAAGCCCTTTGCTGCTGAGTCAGGGCTGTCTCAAGAGAATGTACTAAAGAATGGACAAAGCTGACTGGCTCATCTTTAACCCAGAGTTTACCTTCAAGATGTTTTTGCCCCAGCAGATGACTAAATGCTTTTAAGGTTTCATGAAGTCTTGCAAAAAATTCCACAGAATTCCACTAAGACTTTCTTGTTTTATTGCCCATATCTTGAAAATCACCGTTAGAACCACATTCCTCAAAATTTTGAAAAGGATACCACTTCAGTGTTGGTGACCTAGTCTGTTTGTAATTTGTCCTCCTTGGTGCATTTTCTCTTTTTCTAGTCTTAAGTGGTGCCCACATTATACATTTTTCATGACGTTGATTGCTGTTTCAACCTCAGGATCATTTTGGGTTTAAAGTTTCACTAATCTGAGATGAACTTGATATAGTAGATCCTTTCTGAGGTGACTTGATGAAATACTTTGTGGATATTTTTTACGTGATTAGGCTAATGGAATTATTTAAAACCAAAAGTAATGCAGCGTTTTCATATTTGAATTGTGTTGATGCAAGTGATGGTGTCTCCATTTTGACACTTTTCTTTCTCTGAGTTATGTGTTCAAAACTTCTGCCCCGAATAACCTGTTGATTCTCAGGAGCTCTGCAGTCATTGTGTTCTTGGAGGCCGTGGCAAGTGATTAGGTTTTGGGTGAAACACTATTAAAATTAGAACTTACTGATATTTTTAGGAAACAGGACTTCTTGGAAGGAATGTAAGGCAAATTTGTTTTTTACATAGCTACTATACTAGCTTATGTTAAAGGTAAAACTGCTAAAAGCATTAGTTTTAAAAGCAATAGAGTGAAATGGTAATAGTGTATTTTGAAATTATAACGTTTCTACCTTTCAGAATTAAGTTATCCAAGAAAGCATGTAGTTAAAAATAAATTTAAACCCTACTTACACGGTGATAACTACTTGCATAACATGTTTATGATACCTTGATCTCATTTCACTGTAAGCTACAGTGAGGCTTGAGGCTTCTATTCTTTGTCAGCCAGAGGAATGTGGACAGATGATAATCTTTAGCTTTATGTGTGCAGAGGCTAGATGTTGAACATCAAGAAAGAAAAAATAATCTGATTTTTGCAGCATTCTTGTTAAAAGCTTTTTTATTGATGGGAAACTTGGAAATTTTAATGCTGTAGCCACCAAATGTCATTATTGTTTATTGATATTTATGTAATTAATGATTTTTATAATGGCATCAAATTTAGAGTGACAGCTGAAATGTTTTGGATAAGGGAGGCTTTAATGATTTGCTTTTTTCTTTTAGGCTTCATGGTGTTTTAGATAAACTTCGCTCTGTCACAACTGGTAAGATTTGTAAAAAAATCTTTTTTTTTTCCTTGATAAGGCATATGATTTCTTTTTCTGAAGTAGCATTTATATTTCTTTGGAATAGAAAACATGAAGTTGAAAAAATAGTTCATTGAACAATTTTATGATTTTCTGAGCAATAAATTTAGATCAGAGGTTAGTTACAGGGAAATTAATTTACTGTAAGGAAATGAATATGAAAGTGTGAAAAGATTTAACTTAAAGGATGTCTCAGGATTTTATAATTGAAAATGATGCAGAATTTTAGTAATAGTGAATTAAGTAATTTTATGTTATAGGATAATATTTCATTTTTAAGAACCACATAGTGAGAGATTGAAGATGAGATCATATATATGCAAAAAGGGAACTCTGGTGGCCTAGTGTTAAGAACTTGCACTGCAATCCCAAATGCACGAGGTTCGAATTTACCACCTGCTCTGTGGGATGATGGGCAGTCTCCTCCTGAGTAATTTACTGTCTCTGAAAACCTGCTGGAGGATTAACTGTAATTCCAGCTCGATGGTACACAGCAACAGCATACATGCACAATATATACTTGTACATGGACTGGAGGCTAAGGGAGCCTGGTCCACGCCAGAGTCTTTGCAATTGCTTGCTGTGCATCAGAGAGCTAGAAAGTGGCTAAAGATGATAGAGAATTGATGCCTTTGAGCTGTGGTGCTAGAGAAGAGTACTAAATATACCATGGCATGCCGGGAGAACAAACAGATTCATCCTGGAGAGGGTGAAAATGGGCTACTCCTTGGAGGCAAGGATTCTGAGGCTTCATCTGACATACTTTGGGCATGTTGCAAGGAGGGACCAGCCCTTAGAGATGGACATCATTCTTGGAAAGGTGGAGGGACAGAAGGAGAAGACCCTCGATGAGATGGATTGACACAGTGGCTAAGGTAATGAGGGTAGATGTGTCAGAGACAGTAATGTTGGCACAGGATAGAGCAGGGTTCAGGGCTGTTGAACATAGGGTCACTATGAGTCGCAAGTGACTCAACGGCACATAATAAAAACAACAACAACATACTTTTTTAAAAGGTGTATATATACTTTCCCAAACATTTACCATTGGGATCCTGGTGCCTTTGGATTTTAAATATTTTAGTATTTTTTTGAGACACTTGTATTGATTTCTTATTGAAATGAAGAAGAGGATGGTTTAAAGGAATAAAAATAGATGGAAAAGATCATGTGCTTCTCTTTGCAGAGCCCTCTAGCCTAAAGTCATCCGATACCAGTATCTTTGATAGTAGTGTGCAGTTAAACAAGGGCAGCTTCAGCCG